GTAGAAACTATGAATTTATTAATCTTGTTCATGAAAATATAAAAATTTACTGATAATGTATGTAGGAATGGAAGTATCAAGGTCATATACGCCTGTCCCACCGTGCCTTCATCCTGATGATATGGCGCCAAATTATAAGCCAGATTGCATTTGTTTAATGATAAAGCGGTATCCAAATGGTGCACTCAGTCCGTCCATTACCAAATTACAACCTGGCCAAACCCTTACAGTGAGCAATGGTTTAGGTGCCTTTGTAACCGAATCTTTCGATCGGTATTCTGTTATTCATTTGCTGGCAGGTGGAACGGGTTTAACTGCGATGTTAGGAATAATTCAGCGAGCACTAGCGAGACGCAGCGTGTAAGTATAGACATCTTCGATTAATTTTTTTATTTTGTAATTTCACTCGCAAACTTTCTATTTTTGAAATTAAATAATGAAAATAGCAATAATTATAAATTAATATACAATAAGAATAAAATAATGAAAATTATAAACGTTAAACATTAATAATAATGTAGACACAGTTGACCTAGCAATACTAACATTAGTTTCTATTTGTGAATCAACTAATTTAATTGATTTAATTAATTGGTTCCAACATTAATAATAATGTAGACACGGTTGACCTAGTAATACTAACATTAGTTTCTACCTATAAATCAACTAATTTAATTGATTTAATTAATTTGTTCCAGGAAACTTATCAATCTTCTAAACTTTAATAAAGATGAAGAAAATATGTTTTACGTGGCACAACTCGATAGAGTATCTGCAGAAAAGAAGTAAGTACACATAAAGACTGGAAAAATATAAAAAAATTGTATTAAACTTTTTATAAAGTTTTTTAAAAAATGTTGATTATTAATATCTTGAATTCATTCGTTAGGTTCAAAGTTACACATATTCTGTCACAAGCAGGAAATAAGTGGGAGGGCAAACGAGGCACTGTATCCGATGGGTTATTGAAAGAATTGATTGGCGAGTGTTCATCAGAAGGATGTATATTTGTGTGTGGACCAAAAGGCTTTATGCTATCTGCTAAAAAGTACTAGAATTTTTTATTTGTTGAACACGTATTTTATATATTTTTTTCCTAATTTAATAACTGGTAATTTAACTCTATTATAAAAACATAAATGTTATAACTGTTTTTAATTATTGATTAATTGTTATTTTCAGTATTTTGTGGACCTCTTGATTAATTAACACATCGTTATGTTTTCAGGTGTATTCAGAAACTTGATTGGAAACCTTGTCAAATACACGAATTCGATTAATCGTCTGCGTTGAAAGTATGCGAGCTGACCTATTTCCTTTTATTTCCAAAAAGCCTTCTTAGAGAGCCTAATAAGAGATGAAACTCGTACCTGTTGACCACACTGATTTAGTTTAGATGTAATACAGATGTTCTGTGACAGGTATGTGAACTGTCTGTAATGTACCATTAATCACTGTATTTTTCTGGAATCATGAAGATTTTTAAGCACTTTTACTCCCGTCTCCGCCCATAATGAAACAATCTTGGCTGCGATAAATTGTAATACTATCTAAAGTAGATTTACATGTAATTTTTCAATTGTAAAGCAACCAAGAAATAGGGATAAAATGTCGCGCGATTTAGATAAAAAAGACTAGATATATATCACAAAATGTGGTATATTTTGGTTTTATTAAAAATATTGTTTCGTACTTGTTCCGAGAAAATCTTTCTTCAAAAGGGTATGTTTTTATTAAATAGAAATCTTGACAGGAAAATATATGTACTGCATATAACATACGTATCAGTATGATGTAATGTTGTTATTGATCTGTACCGGCATTTGATGTTTTTCATGTAGATTAGACTGTAGTAAAATTGAAATCATAATTTTAAGCTCATTAGCTGTTGAGCTGTAATCATTGAACAGACGTATATCTTTTCTGTGAGAACCTTTAACCACGCCTAGTATAATGCACAATTAAGTAAGCGAAAAATGCAGTGCGTAATTTTTAATGTCGACATTATATCTCCGATTATGTGATTGTAGAGTGTATATTTCTTTCGTAAGTGATTTTTAATTAATACATTTGATTAATATCTTTTTTAGGTAAATAATTAAGATTAAACAATTATTCTTTGAGAAAAATTTTTGCGTAGAATGCTGTGCATTTATACGTGTATATACATATATATATATGCCAATGTTAAATAAGAATAAATACATATATACAAATTGAATGACTGAAGAGCTGTTAAAGTGCTTTTTTATATTAGAATATGATTGCGTTATACGCTCTCGCTTCCGCCAAATTTTTCAAGTTGAAAAACTGTCGAGTGCATCGTACAGATAATGAGGTTGTAAATTCTCACTTTCAATCTCTCCGAGACGCTCATACCTGTCATCTTCAATAATGTACACTAGAATATTTATCTAGGCAGCGCAGAAGAAGGAAGCGAGAGAGCGTAATAACACTTCCGCCGTCCACCCCTCGTCATAGAATTTTCACAAAAGGACCCCGCCGATCGTTCGAACGATAAGAGAACTTTCGCATAATGCAAAACTTTGAGGCCGGCTTAATTTTCCGGCGCCGTATACAGAAGTGCCTATTGATCGCGGTAAGTTCTTCCCGCGCGATATGACGTAACGACATCCCACAGGCAGGCGGTAAGATGAATGTCTTTCGATCCTGTCGCCGGCGCGAAGAAAATTATGTCACATGCGGCGCGACGTTGTTGAATCTCGATTCCTCGATTGTGTGTGACCCCTCCTCTACGTATCCTTCCTGTCTCCTTGAGTAGCTAGCTGCGACAAATTGCGCAAAAAGCTCGAGAGCATTTTTGCGAGATCGCAGCGGCTTGAAAATTTAACGACCTCGATACGCGACTGTCGCGTACACTCGCTTCGCTATTTTGCTACAAAAATGAAGTTGGTGATTTACAAGTACGTAATAACACTTTGATTTTCAAGTCTCGTCGAAACTTTCTTCAGAAAAATAGGATACATCGTATTACGAAACGCTGTCTTCATAAATATAATACATTAAGTCGACTCGTTGTGTTGGCGAGATAAATATCTTCTCTAAAAACTATGATAAAGCTCTGCTCTGGAACGTGCAGTCTATACGAAAAACCGATACAGTGCACGGGGTCACACGATATTGAAAATTAAAATTCTATACGCCTAGTGGGAGCAAATTTTACCTTATATCTTGCGCACCCGCCGTCCTACTATCAAAATAGTTCATTGATACAATAGCAGCATGTAACGTGCAAAGCACGCGCACCTGAGAACGTGTGACCAGAAAATTTTAGCTCCTAACTTTTTTCGGAAAATCTAAGATGCGGACAACCCGAATCTTTATTAAATCGCATTATTCACATTTACCGGAATGTGATAAAGTTGTTTTTTACACTTTAAATAACCTCTTAAAAATAATAAAATTCAGCAAAAATGAGCAATAATTCTAAAATATTGGAATACCGTTTCTTAAAAGTAGAAATTGACTATAATTTTTAAATTGTTATATTTTAGATCATTTATAATTTTTTAAGTATTATATTATTCTATTTACATTTCGTTACATTGATTATTTTACACGTATGTTATTATTACAGTTATATAATTAATTGTAAGAACTGTGTTTGAAATTGTGCATTCAACTGAACTGAACATTGTATTTGAAAGATGTGATAAAACACAACGATATGATTTGTGAAGAGTAATGTATTGACATTTACATATTCCAGAGTAGTGTATCGAACTATGCTGAATACTACTATGTTGAGCACGTCATGGCATACAAACAATGCATCTCGATGCAAGAAAAAGGACGGCATTATTCGCAGTTTGCGGAATCGATCGCGGCCGCTCTCCTGACACGATCGAGATAGAACGGTGTACGGGTAAGTACAAAGACGGGAAAGTTCTTTTGTTTTGCGCGAACACCTAAATACTTTGTTGGCCAAATGTTGTTGGGCACATGCGAAAAGTTTGATAGCGTTCCGAGAGTCGCAAGATGCAACAATTTTTTATCAGTATATTAGTATTAGGGAAAAGTAATATAGATAATAGCAAAATATATATTATATATCAGAACTGCTGCGTCGTGCATATCATATTTTATGCATAAATAAATAAAAGTTTTTAGAAAAATTATATCTTGCGAAATACATACCAGACGTATAAAGTATCTATACTTTCGTAAGGCTGTTTTTACTTTATATCGTTACCCTTTTGCAAGATATCGGGTATCGGAATTGGTATTTGCAGACAGATCCGTGAGAAGCATGAATTTATCGTAACGTTGAATAGAAATCGGCAGCTGGATTGACATCGCGAAGCGAGTGCAAGAAAATGCACTTGCGTTTCCCTGGGTTTTCTCGAGAAAAGAAAAAGACGTTTAAGAAGCATCACTTTACTCATAAACTATTTTATCAAATAATTGGTCATTAATATTAGAAAATTCATTTTTTCTGCGAAATGCACCACTGGTGAGAACGAATTAATTACAACAGAAAACACAAGTTTTAAATTCCATTATTACTATAAAAAAATGGTGTTATTCGCAGATAAAGACCTAAATCTATTTTTTAAAAAAAGTGTAATTTGCATAAATTGATGAAACTAATTGATGAATTAATTTAGTCATAATTAGACAGATAGATTGAGGGATTGCAATGGAAGTGGTAGATGAATGGGATTGTAGAATAGATGAATCCTATTTTAAGTTAAAAAGTCACCCCGTAACTTACTTCCGCTCATTTCAACCTACTCTCTAGCAAGGGCTGCTTGAACCAACCTCGTTGAACCAATGCCGATAACGTAATCCAATTTTCCTTCTCCGTCCATATCATAGGCAGGGTCATAGTCTAGAAAGAGATAGCGAATTGTTAAGCCAGGTTGTGAACTAATTCCCGCTGTTGGTGCAATCCGGCCTAACTCTGCTCACGCTCGCAGAGGAATAGTTAGAGTGTTATATCTAATCATCATACTTCCTTTGAGATGTGTGAGTTTTCAAACTTGTCCCAATTCATCTTCAAATCTAATTTCCTTTTATATCTTTCCTTACTTTATAATGTAATAAACAGATTAGCATTCGCAATTTACATTTAAATATGGCAATGATCATATTATCGAATTGTATTATCGTAAAGAATTGTCGTATCGATAATCGAACTAGTATTGTTAATAGAACTGATATCGATTTATCTGATGTCGCTTTATTTATGCTGCCTTAGAATAATGGAAAACAAATTTTTTATAATAATAAATAACTAAAAATTGATATAAATAATATTGCACGTTATATACAAAAGTGGTTCCAAATTATTCTAGAAATATCGCGCTTAGTGACTATTTTCAAACAATTATTTTATGCAACGTTTCAAATGCGCCAATACTTTGTATTCGATATTGGTTTCGAGACATCGATATTGAAGTAATATCTCGGATGTCCAGTTTCACACTAGTAATAATCATTATCGATGGCAAAAATGCCGCGTACGAAAACGAATCGTATCGTATTCCGATATTGTTAGAATAATTTATAATCCGTAATCGCAAGGAGGCAATCTGCTAAAATTGCAGGATATAGTTTGGCGCCTTAAAAAAAGGTAGAAGCGGGATAGCAAAAAGGGGAGGAGGTAGTGGTAGTGATGTGAGAGGAGGAAGAGGAAGAGGAGGAGGAGGGGGAGAAGGAGGGGGAGGAGTGGGTGCTGCCATGGGTACAGGGGTAGGAAGAGGCTGAAAGAGAGTCTCGCATCGAGGGACGGCAGAGGGTGCGGATGTACCGCGGGGGCAGGCAGACAGGCGGGATAGGGATGCTGCGAGAGAGCAGAGAGAGGTGTTTCAGTCGCGCGACGGCTCTCGCCCCGGCCAGTCGATCGAGCTATCATTAAGCGAACGGTAAGTGAGAAATCGTCGCGCGCTGTTAGCGCGAGATACGCTTCCCGTCGCACAATTTTTCCCGCGGTGTCAGCTCTAAACGCGTATAGTTCGCACTTCCTTGCGCACGCGAGGCCGGACGATACGCGGCGAGCAACCACCTGTGTCATCGTCATCCTAGCAATATACAGACACGTACCGAGAAAAGCGGAAAAGCCGAACGTATCGTGCTCGTGAACACTCGTCTCGCGCTTCGTGAACGCTTGTCGCCGCCACCGTCGCATCGCGCGGAAAACACGGCCGCGAAAGATCGTTCTTGTTCGCACGCTCGTCGCGCAAGAGTTAATCTCTCACTCGAAGTCAAGGTCGTACAGGAGAAATTCCGTTTCGCTCCCTCCTTCGCACGGATTCTTCTAAGAGGGTGGAATTTCAACGCGCCCGTTTGTCTTAAGTACAGAAATCGAGGATCGTTGAGATGAGGACAACTTTCACGATGGAGGTAAGTATTGCGCGCGTTATGCTAATTTTGCGTCTTTCTTTCGCGCCCGGAATTCAGTCGCCGTGGAACATGTTAATTTGGCATGCAAGAGAGAGATTGATCTCGAACAAGATCGAGAGAGAGAGAAAGAGAGAGAGAGAGAGAGAGAGAGAGAGAGAGAGAGAGAGAGAGAGAGAGAGAGAGAGAGAGAGAGAGAGTGAGTGAGTGAGAGGTTTCCCGCGGTGATTTGCCTAACGGAATATCGCTTTTTGCTTTACGTACAGCAATTCGGACGGCGCCGAGTTTCGGGCAAAATCATGAAATTGAAAAAAACTGTTCCGTGCTGATCATTAATATGGATTTACATTAATGTAATCTGAAAATAGTCGTGTTGAGAGACAACATTACTGAAACAATCTAAAGAAGATTATTTTTAATTAATTGTTACTTGTATATATTAACACTTAACCTTAACTTAATCCAACACATTGAAGTTAACTGCACTTTCAACTTATTACAGCAAGGTTATTATTAATCGATTGCTTGAGTTAGGTGATAATTTTAAATTTAGCCTCCTTTTTCCTATTTTGCATAATACCGTCAATCAGAATATTTTCTAGAGATTACTTGGAAATTTATATTGCCTGAAAATTATAATATAATATTATTGAAAAATGATGTAGTATATAATGTACGTACAGAATGAAGATTAATCTTTTTTTTTTTCACGACGTCCCATTAGCGTCACTAAGACCACGTTTTTCGAATAAAGTATTGTCGTTTTAAAATAATTAATTCTATCAAAATGATTCTTTAATCATTTTACTTGGTTTTGCGTTAACTGTTTTTTTTTTAATATGCGAAATAATTATCCTAAAATTTCGATTATATGTTAATTTTAACTAGTTACGCATTTACAATTAATTATTTTATAGAACTAGAAATTTATTTTTTGAAATATTCCTTTGAAAATGTCGATTAATTGCCAAGAATAACGATAAAAGTACAAGGCATAGAAAGTATAAGGCATTTGCGATTCATTGAGTTAAGTTTCGCGATTAGCGAAGTGTGAAAGCTTAACGACTTTTTAATGAATTTGCCAATTTCGGTAGTCTTCGAGATTTTAATAGAGATACAGTCGATTATGATATATTATAGGAAGTGTTTTCCTTTACAAAATACACTTAAGCTAATTGGTTGATTGTAAAATATCGTTCAGATTAGTCATGCATGCCTCTTATTAAATAATTTTAAAAAAAATGTTTTATGCTGAGTTTATATTTTAATTTGAAATAATATTAATATGATAGATTTTTATTTTTACTTTTTATTATGATTACAAATCTTTAAAGTAAAAAAAGAAAAAAAAACGAGTAAAATTACGATGAAAATTCTATAAGAGAAGAAGGATAAATGTGAAGGATAAACAATTTAAAACTTTCTCAACATGGATTATAATAATTCATCACATATTTTTTTTATAAAATTGCTATTTTGCTTTTTGTTTTTATTGCATTTTTAATGAAATATAAAGTCCACTTTAAATAATTTGTAATTTACGATAGAAAAATGTTGAAACATAAATCTTTGGAAATTATAATTTTCAATTTACATTCTTTCTTTTATTACATGTGTAGGCAATATTTAATAGTTAGTAATTAGCATCTATTTTATGTTATTGTTTATATACTATTAATATAAATATAGTAATATTAACATTTATTATAACATTTAATAATTTACACATATAATACAAAATATTTGAAGAATCAGAACATACACATATAAAATCTATATAACTGATTATGTTTTATACATACGTATGTATATATATATATATATATATATTTCAATTTTTATTTACTATATCACATACAAAATTATGAATAAATTAAATATATATATATATATATATATATATATTTCGATTTTTATTTACTATATCACATACAAAATTATGAATAAAATTTTATCTCAAATTATATCGTGAATTATAAATTGTATAAAATGGCCATTACAATGTAATGCACGGCACATAAAATTATAAATAGAATTCTATCTTGAATTCTGTCGCGAATTACAAGTCCTCTAAAGTGGTCTTTACAATGCAATGTCTCACAAATGAATACGTTTGTTAAATATTCGTTGCAGTTAATATCAAATTTTATGGTTCTAATTTATGTAATAAAGAGTTATTCTGTAAAATTAAAATTTGAGAAATTATAGACGAATTTTCAAACAGATTTTTATACTATTTTCGCAATAAACACATTTGTTAAGCTTTCGAAAAATATCTAGATCGTTTCGTTGTACGTAGCTCGTAGCAATTGCTTTTACGGTGGGCTTTTTTGACCACCAACCATTAATCAATGACCTCTTATCTCGTGGAAAAAGCAAAAAAGTAGATGGACGAACATTCGTAACATATCGGACGAGAGTACGGGAATTTTCTTCTCAGAAACGCTTGGCGATCACACAAGTCTCATGGCGATTTGTGTGCATAATCAATTTACCCGTGCAACCCGTCGACTAGCAGAAGCTCGATAAAGCCAGGTGGGATTGGTTGAAAAGCCAATGCCGCCATACGCGAAATCTCAGCTAAATGTACACGTACAAAGCACGGTCTCGCGTGCTTATGCTGTACTTATCCGTTGCGTGCATGCGTGAATATGGCAAACGTTTCAAAGCTATCTATATATACGGCGGTATCCAAATAGACAAATACATTTTCATGGAATGCAAAATATGGAGCGGCGGTTGCTGCCGCATGAATTAGTGAACACAGTCTCCATCTCCATACGCATATTTCACCGGGCAGATAGTGAATTCCTTCCTCGTTGCCTGACAACCATAATTCATAGTTCATGGGTTAAGCGTAACCTTAACCCTTTCAACCTGCCTAACGTCCATGGAAATGACAGCGTAATATTGAAATGTCCCGACGTGATGTTTAGGGATGCATTAGCTTGGTGTTTAAGTATAATCAGATCTCATTTCGAGCATTTGCGCATTATAAAGCGAGAGATCGGAGGGTTTATATATCTTGTTATCTTCTTGTTATATTTCGTTAGTGCAAAAAATTTGTCGCATTTAGCAAGTAAAATTCAAGACAAAATTACAAGTTTTAAACTAACTTTTTTAATTAAAATAATTACAGTTATGAATGAAATATTTCTTAAACATTTTCAATTCTTTGCAAAACTATATTGAACCGTATTTATTGAACTATATTCATAATTGCAGATCTTTTATTTCAGAAAAGTTCAATTAAGCACACTAAACTGGTTGCGCTTATGTGAAATGAGTTATTTGCACAGTTAATTCTTTACTCCCGTTTTTTTGAAAGCAAATTTTTGATATTGTGAAAGAATATTAAGATCTTGTGCATTTCCTCGAAAAGATACCTGGCTATTATATTTATCTATCAGACTCTAGAAAATTCTTTTCTCGTGAATGTCTCGCGTGTGTGATTTATGGTGGTTTTTCTAGGAATATAGTCTAGGAGTATTTTCTCCGATTAAATAAATACTGATAATATATGTTTCGGTCGATGATATAAATTCATCGCTATACACACGAAATCGCGATTAGCAGATTTATTTTTATCTCGCACGTCTGCACGTCAAACGTTTGCTCTAGATTTTATTTTTCTTTTTTTTTAAATAGAAAATGCACTACTTTTATATCGATAATATATGAATATAACTTGTTAAAGATTTGTTTTTAATCAATAGTCTGAAATTAGAGTTGATGTTTCTGAATACATCAACCACGATCAAAAGTATGAATTAAAGTATTGATTAAAAACGAATCTTTAACCATTTTTATTCATATATTATCGATACAAAAGTAGTACATTTTCTATTTTAAAAAAATAAAAAAAAATAAAATCGAGAGCAAACGTTCGCCGTGCAGACGTGCGAGATAAAAATAAATCTGCTAATCACGATTTCGTGTGTATAGTGATAAATTTATGAACACTTTTAACAAATTATACTAACAATAAGTTAACTCAATTAGTATAAATTAGAAAACATAATAATTTTTATTTTGTAATCTAACATCTGAAAAATATGAATCAATTTGTTATATTACAAAATAATGATTTACTGTTTCTTAATTTGTCAAAAAAAGCTAATTTAGTATAATTTGATTATTTTAGAATTATTAAAGACTTATTTTACAATTTATTAAAGATACAATTTTTGTTATATAGTTTAATTTAAATAAAGATCGTATCTGAGCATGATATTTGTATGATCAAAATATAAAAAAAGAAATACTTACGGTACACATTTATATTGAATATTGCAGATGTTATGTTTTTTTACGGTTTTTGCGGAAAAAAACTTATTTAATAAAATATTAAATAACATAAAAATATATGACTACATTATCCTGTTATGAACCGTAAAATCGATATATCTTTGTTATTAATGTCTCAAAGATGGGAAGAGAAGGAAAGGGGGAGACGAAAAGACCTCCTAAAATTACGGTTTACTACCAGCACAACATTGTGACACAATGTAATTAGCATGCCAATCAAATAAAATGCATGTTATGACAGAGCGTATTCTCTCGCGTGCAATTACACGAGACACTTTTGTACACAGAAATAAACGGGAGCAGCATATTCTTTTTCGAAAATGCGCGTTACAGTTTTTTTCGATATTAATTACTGGTTTCATTGCATGGAGTTACATATCTCACCGATAGTCACGCGCGCGTAACATCGTCCACAAGAATTTCGCGACGACGTTTTATAAATTCGCATATTTTATCACCTGCAATTTTTTTTCGTGTCGCGCGACTGTTAAATGGTTGACCGAGTTTTATGTTCTACGGCAAATTCCATGAGTATAATCAAAAGGTAAATAACGACATACGAGACTGAATCAACTAGACTGGAAATCTACTATCTATCTTTATTGTGCAGCAAAACGGTCTCAATTTTTTTCTGTTTTTTTTTTTTCCTTTTTTTTCTACTTCGAAACATAATGAGTTATTATTGAAAGTGATTA